CGCCATTTCTTCCGTGTTATTTCTGAAATCATTACTATTTAAAGTTTTCTGTACATGTACTAATCTACTGACTTTGATTTTTGTGAAACAATGTGGCTCATTTACGCCATGGGAAAGGTTGAGTAGATGTCTCTTATACAGCAAAGAGAGGATATAAAAACAATCGACTAACTGTAGGCTGCTAGTTATATATAGCCCTAGTCTAAAGCGCTCAATGATGTTATGAAAAATTGTATTTTCGGGAAAAGACAGAAACATACTTGTAGTTGTTGTTTCCGAATAGGCCTAGTTAGCACTGACTGGAGTAGCCTACATGTGGATCATCTGGTTGTTGGTGTTGTCTATAAAGTTTAATTGTAGTAGTATGGCGCTTATCATGTGTATTTTTAATATTTCCAAAAAAGAATCAATTCATCATTTTCCTATAACTAGATCTCTGTCCGACTCCCTTCTAATGAAAACGAGCAAAGGTGAAACGAGTCTCTCGTCGGGCACTATAACGGGTGTGTTTTCGGTGTTGTCCTCGCTGGTGATGATAAGCTAGTCGATAGTCAAAAGTTTAATATCACCATATATTGACAGTGAGTTGGTCATCGTTTGTTGATTATTAAGGTGAGATAGGTGTAGCCAATGTGCACCAATGAAAAATACAATGGAATTGATAGCAACCATATTCGTTCGGTTTTAGATCTCCATATGTTGCCATATAGGCTACCATACTACAGAATTATATTAACGATATTGAACTGTATTATGTTCAATAAACGTAGATCTAGTAACAAATAAATTTCATATGATCTATATAAACAGCGCTGCGATAAAGATGTGAGTCGTAATTAGCTACAATGCCTGTTTAATATATTTGTTCCCGTTTGGATTCCGGTTTAGAAAAGGTCCCCAATATAACATGATTGTGTGTCATTGTACTCTGACAGAGGTTGTGAGACGTGGTTGACTATAACAATCACTAGTTTGCCTGACCGGGTTTGTCAGACCGGTGTATATGGAAACCAAATTACATTAGGTGTTTTTTTAAGATGATACTCATTATTTTGTTACTTATATCTGTTGCCTGAGATATTTCCGATCGGACGTTATACATGGGGACTTTAGATTTACAGTTTTTCCTAAATTTTAGACTTATGTATGTTTATTGAATATAGTTCTAGTTTTGACTTTTTTTTATATGTTTTCGTTGCAGCAAGGGGGAAAATGTTACACGACCATTCCATAAGATATCATGTTGAATCATTGAGGAATACACCAAATAAACCCTGGACTGTGAATTATGTTAACCTAAGTACAATTGTTTTCAGTTGCATTCCATTGTCTATATCCATGTTAATTGGTGTGTTTTTGCTTTAAATGAATTCTAAGAATGTAGATCTATTTATATAAATCTATGCTCGTACCACGTTTTGTATTCAACCTGATTATTGATGTCTCCGAATGAATGTTAAAATTTGTTTCCATCAGACACTTGCATTATACATTATTGTTTGAATATTGATAAAGCCTTATTTCCAAATGAATGTTTCTCGTCATATCTTTCAAATACCTGCTCGAGATTTATTAAGCTGTTTGTATTTCAGGGAAGTGGAAGTGAACACCAAAGAAAGAAGTTTCTGGCATTCAATAATTTCGAAAAATGTATAAATTTTCAATTATCTAAAAATATTAAAATGTCAACACAATTGTGTCTTGGAGTTATTTGTTGAATGGTGACGTCGCATGACTGAAAGTTGAAGTATACTATAGAGATTTGTTTAGAGACCGACCATTTAATAATTTGGGGGGGGGGGGGGGGGAACCTGTAACTTTTCTATGGAGATTACATATGTTTTCGGTCACAGCTACAAAGGCAGATATATGTTTTTATTTAACTCTATCTGCCTGAAGATAAGCGCCTTGCAACTAGATCTATGTCATTTTTTGTGGCAGGCATTTGTTTTCACCAGTCTGAACAAAAATTATTTTTGTCAAGAATTTTCGGTGACAATATATGTTTTCGATAAAATTCCAGGCCCCGACCCTCCCCAGAATATCAAATGGTCAACCCCTAACCCTGTTTGCCATTCTTATTTTGTTTCCTGCAGTACAAGCCTAAAGGGTAATGGTGTCTGACTTAGTCATATGTATCTAGTTAACAGTTCAGTGGTGTTTTTACATTTTGAACATTGTCAGCAAAACACGATCTAACTGTAAACTGGGCTATTCGACGCCCTGGTTTTAAAACATTGGTAAAGGATATCTCGAATCATACACATTCACGTTACTAAAGCATATTCTAAAACATTTCCGGAACATGTTGTTTTTACAACATTTCAGTGGGGAATGGTCATGAGATAACGTTGTCACAACGTATTTCATCCTTGTAACACAAAGTTATTTCACGTCGTTGTGACAACGTCCATGGTAGTACACAGAATAATATTGTAGGGGGACGCATTATTATAACATTGCCACAACGTAAAACACAACATTACCACAACGTCAAATACAACGTTCCCTCAACGTAAAACTACAACGTTCCAAAAACGTAAAATACAACGTTATCACAACGTTGTGACGACGTGAATATGACGTAACACAACGTTAGGCCATGACGTGACAACATAAATGGGAGTCCACAGAATAACGTTATATGGACGGAACATCCCCAACGTTTTCACAACGTAAACACAACGTTATTACTACGTTGTCACAACGTGAAATTGTTAGCTTGGTCACTCACTCAAAACCCCTAACGGTATGGTATTTGTGGAAAGAGTAGACCCTGGGCAGTAATCGCGATACAGACAGAGAAAGGCCTGGAGGATAAAATGGGACAAAGAGCAAAAACAAACAAACAAAGGACGCACACACATTTAATCTGACCGAAGTGTGTGCAAAACGTTTTCCCGAATTCCTAATGCATTTTTAAGATGCTTTGGGTATTACCTCTGTGACTGCAAACTAGACACCAGTAATTTGACCTATTTCGAGCGGTTCATCATGGTACTTCCGATACGGCCCTACTTCCAAATATATTTGTTGTAACACCCTGGCTATCCTAAGGATATATGACATCCATATATATTGGATACAAGTAGCAGAATTCAACTGCAAACGTCAGTACTACCGTTCAAAAGGACTGGATAAGATTTGAAGAGTACATGTGGTTGTTAGGCGTTAGAATAACTGGCGTGTCCTTGCACTTCGCTTAATGCCCTCATGACATTGGCTAAAGCATACAATTTGCTGTGTGCAGTTGCGTCCCTTAGCTGCCAGGATCTGGTAATTGTGGAATCGAACGTCACCACGATTATGTTCCTTGTTTTATCATGTTTCTAGATTCGTGGGTTGTAGAGGTCAATAATATGCACTATTTGCCTGCAGACTAGTTAGCACACGAATGGCCATTTCACATACGACTGCGTGAAGGCTCTGTAAACGATGTCATTATGTTTCCTCAATGAATTGTTTGTATATTGAGATACTTTTAATCAAGAACGTGTCCTCCTGACGTGTGCAGAGAGATAATTCCATTGTGATGTATCGAGGCCACTTATTACTTTAGGTCGTGCAGCCTTTTAGTATTCGTGACTCGATATATACCTGACCACCGCGAGATATCATCCTCATCTTACTGATATGTCAGCCATAACTAACAGACTAAGAACTGTTTGAATTAAACATCTATTGATCTGCTTTTAAATATCCGTCATGTTTAAATAAATCACATTTCAGTACACCTAAACATTTCGTTTTCAAGGAGTATACATGGCTGATGTTTGCTTTAATGTGATAATCTGTGTATCGGCTGTCTGTAAGTTTTAGCTTTCTGGAATTTGAAATATGTCTTTGTAATTACAGGAACTGCAGATTTCAAGCCAAACGTGTACGGATATTGTGTGCTTCATGCATGCACTTATGTGGATGCTCAACTAGTACAGGACCTCTTTTTCTGACTGTGTGAGCTGGCACAGGAACCGCATGTGTGACTGTGAGCTGGTACCGGACCCGTACAACTCATTGTGTGAGCTGGTACATGACCCGTATATCTGACTGTGAGCTGGTACAGGACGCGCATACCCTTCTGTGTGAGCTGGTTTAGAGACAACTATCTGACTGTGTAAGCTGGTACAGGACCGGTATATCTGGCTGTGTGAGCTGGTACGGGACCCATATATCTAACTGTGTGAACTAGCACGGGAAGCGCATGTGTGACCGTGAGCTGGTACCGGACCCGTATAACTCTTTGTGTGAGCTGGTACAGGGCCCATATATCTGACTGTGTAAGCTGGTACATGACCCGTATATCTGGCTGTGTGGGCTGGTACAGGACCCATATATCTGACTGTGAGCTGGTACAGGACGCGCATACCTTTCTGTGTGAGCTGGTTTAGACCCATATATCTGACTGTGTAAGCTGGTACATGACCCGTATAACTGAATGTGTGAACTGGTAGAGGACCCGTATAACTGACTGTGCGAGTTGGTATAGGACCCGTATATCAGACTGCGTGAGATAGAACAGGACCCGTGTATCTGACTGCGTGAGATAGAACAGGACCTGTGTATCGGACGGTGAGCTGGTACTGGATAACAATAACGTTAGTAAAATGTGTATATGTAGACGCCGTTCAAAGTCAATTATATGTAGACGCCGTTCAAAGTCAATTATATTAGCATTTCAGACCACTTGCATTGTTGCCACGGTCACCTATCTACTGTTGTTATTTCTGACACTACTTAAGAAAAATGACATTACACCGAGCAGGTTTTTATACAAAGGAGAACCTGGCAATCTCACACAGTGTTCGGGGGAAATGGAATATTTGCAGTCACATGTAATGCAACTGCAGAATGTTGTGATTAACTCTTCAAAGGCTGTCGGTGTCAGGCGAGGAGGGGAAAACATAGCTCATGTAAAATACCAAAACGAAAACGAAGAATATTTCAACTTTACAGACAGATTTATAATAACAGGCTGTTTAGGCAAATCTCGTCTGATGAAAATGTTTAAACTCGCATATAAGAGAAACCGCGTTGCACCGTCTTCTGCATACGGTATCATAGCTGCTATTGGTGAACCCGATGGAGGTGCGATAACGTATAAGGATCGCCTTGAGGGACTGACTGTTGGAATTGTACGTGGCGACTATGCAAATATGTACTGGACCGTCATAGAGCTGTACAGTGCCTATCTGAGTGCCCGGGTATTGAACAGAACTGCTTTCGAGACTACCATTCTCATCCTTGACGCGCATCCAGCTTCTGCCCTGGACGGATTGTGGGAACTGCTGTTCAAGAAGGTCGTCAGAATGGGGTGGTTGAAGAAAACAACACTCCTGGAGCAATTTGTCCTTGTTCCCCATTTAAAACTCGTGCCTCTTGTGCGAGACATCAATACTATTCCGTACATCGACGACTTCCGGTATGATGTCTCCAATCGCGTAGGGGGAGATCCGGCTAGAAAGATAGTTTGTGACAGGTTTCAGATAACAGTTGTGTTAAGAAGAAACTACGTAGCCCATGCGCGAAACTTTGAAGGTGTCATAGGCAGACAGTTTAATAATTCAGATGACCTAATTCAGACTCTGAAAAGCACATTTCCTAAGGATTTGGTAAGAGCCGTGGCTTTGGAGACTCTAACTGTCAGTGAGCAAGTAAAACTGGCCACCGAAACGGATATTCTGATCGGTGTACACGGTGCAGGGTTGACCCTCACGTTGTTCCAGGTTCCGGGAACAGGTTTAATTGAGCTTTTTACCTTTGAGTATAAACAATACAGAAACAATCACATGGAACAGCTGGCTGTTTTTGGAGGCATATTATACAGCAGTTGGTACAGCGACACGAAGTTTGCCACCTCTGTGTACGTACCTCCACGAGTCCTGGCGGATATGGTGGTAAATATCCGAGGCAGAATTTGCAATTGTCCTGAGACACAATGAGATTAACCGAGAGCCCAGTATGAAACAGTGCAGTTCTGTTCGTTAAGAGGCTGTGCTATAGTGGCACGTTGCAAGTGTGTCCATCTAAGGAGCAAGTCTACTGAGACAAATTAAGATTTGGCAACAGAGGGCCACACATAAAACAGTGTGATCCTGCGCAGCAAGAGCACGGCGTTTGCTGAAGTGAGACACGATGCAAATGTGTTCATCAAACGGATCGACTACTTGATATTCTTGTAGATCTGGTATTATTTCTTTTTAAATTGTTCTATCAAATATTTGAAAGGCATTTAGCAGTGACACACACACGGAGGAGAATTTATGGATGTCAACTCCTTTTTTATGAGGAACACAAAGTTTCGTAGTATGTACTTACTCCTTCATCGGGTGAATGAATGCTATGAGGCAGAGAGCATATATATGTACATGTAAGGACAACAAAAGTAATAACATAAGAAAAGGTGGAAACTAACCAAGGGAACCCAACAGATAATTAGCACCGACAGCTGATAGTTATTGACAACTGGAAGCCAGGACATGAATTATTACTTCCTGATAATTGGCAATGGACAATGGGCAAACGGAAGACCGGAGGTAAATAGCACTGAGAGGTAAAAGAATGGAAATAGCAATGGGCAGTTGGAAGCCAGCTAGATAAATAGCACCGACAAAGATCAAAGCAATTCTTTTAGCCAATTTCCTCCTGATGTCATTATAGTTAATTCATCACTATATGATTTTAGTTTATTTCCATTATCCACTGTACTTTATTCAAGTATTTCCATATAACTTTAATTAAGTTTGTGTTTCCTTTTCTTCTTCACTTGCATTATTTTCCATTCAGACAACACTTTGTCTATTCAGGTAGAAAATAGCGTACATCCTAGAATAGCCACCTTCCTTTAATATACACCATCTGAAGTATTAATTGCCTCATGTTAAACTTACTGTCACATTGATATAAATAGTTAATTTTTCATGTTTTGTTGCCTACATTTGCAATATATTTACTGTAGTAACTTTGTGGCAGCTGCCATCGGTGTAACACAAGTAGCCCCGAATGCTTCTGGTACCATTAAATACTGTCGTACTGAGAGTACTTTTTAAAAATAAAAATAAATTCATGTTGTTGAAAGACAAATTTGTCTTCATTGTTTCAATGTGTTTTTACATAAATATGTTGTCTCATAGTTTTAATTAAACAAGAAAACAGCGTTATCACTTTCCTCCGCCATGGTGCACATTAGAATTGTTTGCCCATACACAGTGAGACACAATCAAAAACCAACTTATATCAGCGAGCTTCTTGAAGAGTACGTGCCTGGGAGAACTCTCAGATCAAGCTGCCAGTCCCTACTCTCTGTGCCTAGTGTTAGAACGGCGACTTTTGGAGGTCGGAGTTTCGCCAAAGTTGCCCCTGAGCTATGGAATAGGCTGCCATTGGATATTAGGAACATTGACAGTCCTACTTTGTTCCGATCAAGACTCAAAACCTTTCTTTTTCACCAAATCTTTCTTAGAGTATTGAGGCTTTGTGTTTTCCTAGCTGTGTAATGTCTCTTTTTTTGTGTAGACTCAAATGAAGCGCTTTTGAACAGTTCTTCGAACTGGATACCAGCGCTTTATAAATCTATAGTTATTATTATTATTATTATTAATCTGTAGTTATTGTTGTTGTGAGTATAAACTATATAAAACGAGTCATATGAAGCCTTAAGAAGAGATAGACACCACTATCCTCCGCCATGGTGCACATTAGAATTGTTTGCTCATACACAGTGTTGTTGTGAGTATAAACTATATAAAACGAGTCCTATGAAGCCTTAAGAAGAGATAGACACCAACTATATGTCATTAGAAAGAAAGTGATTAAATGTGAAATTAATACATACAAAAGGCCCCTTCTCTGGAAAAAAATAATTTATGGCACCGATTCTCGAACTCAGTCTCTTAGTATCTCTTTGATAAGCTAACTTGAGTATTATTTTAGAAAACTTGTCCCTATTGCAGACGCTATCAAACATCAAGGGACGTAACTGCATGCTCAAAATCTAAAAACATGTAGCAGGGAAAGTAACTCTGGAAAAAATATCATATACGGCACCAATATTCGAAATCAGTCTTGGCAAGTCTCTCTTATATCAGCATGCAAATTTTCAGTCATCCAACTTCTGTAGTTTCTGAGAACACTTGTCCCCATTTCGCGCGGCATGCACTAGGTTGAAACGCACTGAGCAAGGGCCATAAGACACACATTTTCGAACTCATTTAAGATCATGACCAATAACATTACCCATTTCTCTTACTTACATATTTTTGAGAATATTTGTCCCCTTTGAATATATCAGTAACTGAATTCTAACTGCTAATAGCCTTTCATCTTTGGAGTGAGTGAGTGAGTTTGGTTTTACGCCACTTTTAGCAATATTCCAGCAATATCACGACGGGGGACCCTTCATCTTTTGAAAGTATTTAAGTGATATCTGTTGACGCCGAATGAACAAGTGCAAGTCGGAACACTAACTTGAAGAACTGATATTGGAGTTGTTACAAACGCTCCAGGGCGAATTCTTAGAGCTCTTGAATGAATGCGATCAAGTTTAATGAGTCGGCTTTGAGAAGCAGACGTGAAGACTTGACAGCCATAGTCAAGTTTTGATAGGATAGGTGCTTTATATAGTTATAACATAGTAGATATATCAGGTCCCCATTGGGCTTTGGACACACACTTCAATAGCCTAATAACACTGTTACAATGGCTGCAAAGATGAGGTATATGACTGACTTTAAACTCTGATACAACATCTAGGTTATAGTCCCCAAGAGATAACTCAACCTTTGAAGGGATTTTACGATGAGTGATCATCATAGCTACTGATTTTGAGTGGGATATTTTGAAACAGTATTTTGAACACCAGGCATTAACTATGTCCAAAACAATTTAATTGCTTCTATAACAAACTGAAACTTAGCAAATCGTCTACAGAAAGGACCATCTTCTGCAAACTGTGCAGCATCGACATTAACAGGAAGACTAATAAACAAGTCGTTGATCATGCCATTAAACAAAACTGGGCTAAAACACTTCCTTGTGGAGTACCATTATCTATGATGTGCACGACAGACAGTACTGTCCTAATACGCACCTGAATACCCTTTCAGACAGAAATGACTGTATCCATCTAAACATGTTACCTTGTATACCATGCTTTTGCAATTTGAAAAGCTACACCTATCGCCAAAACAGATGAAACCTGGAAATAATTATCCCTTGTGATGGAAAAATCAATACAGTCAAGCAGGACATACTTAACTGTGATTCTTTCATCAAAAGGGACACAGAATGGAGGTTCTTCACCTTGCAATAAATACTCATGTGTATAACGCGAATGGCCAATACGACATCGTCGCATAATGACCTCATCAAATCTGGACTGACAACCCATGTAAGGGTAACCGATAGTTGGTTTTATTGCATGTAATTCATTAGTACCTACTTGGGAGTCCCACTTCTTTTGCATTAGATCTTTGATATAGTACCTAATGACAGGTTTGTAGTCACTGTATGGTATTAGAAGTGGTGTCACAGATTTGTTGAGAACTGGTTTTGCTGCAGCATCAGCCATAGTGTTACCCGTGATTCCAACATGACTGGGCAACCAGCAAAAAACGTTGTCGTAATGGCCAGTAGCAAGGTCATTATATAGTTCTAAAATATCTAAAATGAATGGATGACCTGAAGAATTAGATTTTATTGCCTGTAGAGATGATAGAAAATCTGAAAAGATGATGAACCGTTAACAACTGAATATATTCCAAAGCAGTTAATAAAGTCAGGAGAGTTAGGTAGTGTCGAAAATATATGAACTAGTTTTGACAAAGCTAAAGTTTTAATGACTGTAATTTTTCCTATTAGCGTTAGATTTCTTTTTCTGCAATTAGCAACCAATCTATTTATTATATCCCCGTACACACATTTACCACAATTTTTGCCGTTAACATGGACACATTAAGAAACTTAAACTTTTAGGGTGGGTGTTTTGTACGGCCCATATATTTTTAACTATGCATCCTAGCTTCATCAAGCTTGCAACACACATTTACCACAATGAGTACTTGTGCCTTTTGCTAGTTTGAAGATTCTGAATTTTTTTATTTTGGCCGTTTCCATGGAATCATGGTGAAACATAAATTTTGGGTAGAGTTTTTGTACGATCCATGTTTACAATATTATGTATCCTAGCTTCAGCAAACTTGCTACATTAACCACTATGATTGTTTTTTTAATCTTTTATAAGATTCTGAAAGTTTTCTCTTTTTCTGTTTTCATGGAAACATGATGGAATTTAGAAATTTTGATGAGTGGTTTTGTAAAGCTGATATATTTTCCAAAATTGTTTCCACACATGTAGATCATCATAAGTATCTGTGCTTTGTGTTAGTTTAAATTTATGAATTCTTTACCATATCTGTTAAGGCTAGATGGAAATTATTAATTTATTGATTTTCTTATATGATATTGTTCCATTCCACTTCCTCGTAGTGAACACTGGTAACATGGGAGATTTTTTTGGTTTTTTTGGGGGGGTCTATTGTCACTGGAACTCAATCTTAGTTTTTAAAACATTGAAGTTAAATTCAGTTAGAAATGTGTAACCATATTCTGATCGAAATAATTTAGATATTATATAGATGCTTTAAATTTGTTTGTTTTGGTATACAGGTTAAAACTTCTCGTTTCCCTGTCATACTCATTTTGTTATTTGCAGATATGTGTATCCAGAATTTTAGTTCTTTCCAGAAAAACTTTAAAAAATCAATAGGAAAGCCATCAATACCGGGACTTTTATTGTTTTTCATGTTTTCAAATTTCTTTAAGCTCAATTACTCTTTTGTAATAAGTTTTTCATTTGGTTGTCTAACGTTAGAGTCTCTAAATTTGTTAAATTTTCGTAATTTCTGTCATTGCTATCAGAAGTATATAATTTTTTATTAAAGTT